TCGTATAGCTAACCAGCAGTTAGCCGTCCATGTTGGTAACTTATCGTATAGCTAAGCCGCAGTAAGCCGTCCCTGTTGGTAACTTATCGTATGCTAAGCAGCATTTAGCCGTCCCCGTTGGTAACTTATCGTATATCTAAGCAGTAGTAAGCCGTCCCTGTTGGTAACTTATCGTATAGCTAAGCAGCAGTAAGCCGTCCCTGTTGGTAACTTATCGTATGCTAAGCAGCAGTAAGCCGTCCCTGTTGGTAACTTATCGTATATCTAAGCAGCAGTAAGCCGTCCCTGTTGGTAACTTATCGTAAAGCTAAGCAGCAGTAAGCCGTCCCTGTTGGTAACTTATCGTATAGCTAAGCAGCAGTAAGCCGTCCCTGTTGGTAACTTATCGTATAGCTAAGCAGCAGTAAGCCGTCCCTGTTGGTAACTTATCGTATAGCTAAGCAGCAGTAAGCCGTCCCTGTTGGTAACTTATCGTATAGCTAAGCAGCAGTAAGCCGTCCCTGTTGGTAACTTATCGTATAGCTAAGCAGCAGTAAGCCGTCCCTGTTGGTAACTTATCGTATAGCTAAGCAGCAGTAAGCCGTCCCTGTTGGTAACTTATCGTATAGCTAAGCAGCAGTAAGCCGTCCCTGTTGGTAACTTATCGTATAGCTAAGCAGCAGTAAGCCGTCCCTGTTGGTAACTTATCGTATAGCTAAGCAGCAGTAAGCCGTCCCTGTTGGTAACTTATCGTATAGCTAAGCAGCAGTAAGCCGTCCCTGTTGGTAACTTATCGTATAGCTAAGCAGCAGTAAGCCGTCCCTGTTGGTAACTTATCGTATAGCTAAGCAGCAGTAAGCCGTCCCTGTTGGTAACTTATCGTATAGCTAAGCAGCAGTAAGCCGTCCCTGTTGGTAACTTATCGTATAGCTAAGCAGCAGTAAGCCGTCCCTGTTGGTAACTTATCGTATAGCTAAGCAGCAGTAAGCCGTCCCTGTTGGTAACTTATCGTATAGCTAAGCAGCAGTAAGCCGTCCCTGTTGGTAACTTATCGTATAGCTAAGCAGCAGTAAGTCGTCCCTGTTGGTAACTTATCGTATAGCTAAGCAGCAGGAAGCCGTCCCTGTTGGTAACTTATCGTATATCTAAGCAGTAGTAAGCCGTCCCTGTTGGTAACTTATCGTAAAGCTAAGCAGCAGTAAGCCTTCCCTGTTGGTAACTTATCGTATAGCTAAGCAGCAGTAAGCCGTCCCTTTTGGTAACTTATCGTATAGCTAAGCAGCAGGAAGCCGTCCGTTGGTAACTTATCGTATAGCTAGGCAGCAGTTAGCCGTCCCTGTTGGTAACTTCTCGTATTGCTAAGCAGCAGTAAGCCGTCCCTTTTGGTAACTTATCGTATAGCTAAGAAGCAGTAAGCCGTCCCTGTTGGTAAATTATTGTATAGCTAAGCAGCAGTAAGCCGTCCCTGTTTGTAACTTATCGTAAAGCTAAGCAGCAGTAAGCCTTCCCTGTTGGTAGCTTATCGTATAGCTAAGCAGCAGTAAGTCGTCCCTGTTGGTACATGTAACTTATCGTATAGCTAAGCAGCAGTTAGCCGTCCCTGTTGGTAACTTCTCGTATTGCTAAGCAGCAGTAAGCCGTCCCTGTTGGTAACTTATCGTATAGCTAAGCAGCAGTAAGCCGTCCCTGTTGGTAACTTTTCGTATAGCTAAGCAACAGGAAGCCGTCCCTGTTGGTAACTTATCGTATAGCTAAGCAGCAGTTAGCCGTCCCTGTTGGTAACTTATCGTATGCTAAGCAGCAGTAAGCCGTCCCTGTTGGTAAATTATCGTATAGCTAAGCAGCAGTAAGCCGGCCCTGTTGGTATCTTATCGTACAGCTAAGCAGCAGTTAGCAGTCCCTGTTGGTAACTTATCGTATAGCTAAGCAGCAGTAAGCCGTCCCTATTGATAACTTATCGTACAGCTAAGCAGCAGTAAGCCGTTCCTGATGGCCATGACGCAAGTTAAGATCGAGGAAAGCTGCTAGTGTAGTAACGTCTGTATAGGCCCTGTTTTCAAGTTCGTGGGGTTATATGATGGACAAGGTCAATATTTTTTAAAGTGAAATTAAATGACTAGATAAGGTAAATGTAATCAGAGCCGGGGTAGTAAAAATGAAACTACAAGCGACATTAATTAGCAAATAAAATGTTGATATTTCAATCGCAGAGGGAAATACTATATTTACCACCGAGATCATTATGACATCCATTAAACTTGCCCATGGTCTTCACCAACTTCCATGTTTCGCATCCAATGTTGTAAGTTGGTCCGTCATCAATCGACACCTATCGTGGAAAACATGATATTCCAAGCTTACCCGTAAATATACAATCAGCTGCGACATGTGAACACCATTGGGGCGGAAAGAAGGGATGTTATTATCAAACAAGAGGCCCATGGGCCTTAACGGTCACCTGAGTCCTACAGTATTTATTTTTGTTGTTGAAATATGTACCAATTTGAGTAAAAAATAGTTAAGTATAATGTAAACTTAACTTTGTCAGGACCATGAGCTGATCATTCATAGGTATTTACAAAATAGCGGCCATGGCAGCCAATTGAATTTCTGATTGACCCGAAAAATAACAACACTTTGTCAGGACCACAAGTCGATCATTCCTACTAACTATGAGTTCAATCGGCCAACCAGAACTTGCCTTTAAGTTTGAAATATTTTTACAAAATGGCGGCCGTGGCAGCCCTATTGGATTTCTGATTGACCTGAAAAATAAAAACACTTTGTCAGGACCATGAGCTGATCAATCATAGGTATTTACAAAATAGCCGACATGGCAGCCAATTGAATTTCTGATCGACCCGAAAAAAAACAACACTTTGTCAGGACCACGAGCCGATCATTCCTACCAACTTTCAGTTTAATCTGCCTAGCAGAACTTGATTTTAAGTTTGAAATAGTTTTTCAAAATGGCGGCCGTGGCGGCCATATTGGATTTCTGATCGACCCGAAAAAAAACAACACTTTGTCAGGACCATGAGTCGATCATTCCTACTAACTATGAGTTCAATCGGCCAAGCAGAACTTGACTTTAAGTTTGAAATATTTTTTCAAAATGGCGGCCGTGGCAGCCATATTGGATTTCTGATTGACCTGAAAAATAACAACACTTTGTCAGGACCATGAGCTGATCATTCCTACCAACTTTCAGTTTAATCGGCACGAGCCCGGATAAAATATCTTTATACGAACCATAATTTGGCCTAGTTTAGTCAAGTGTTGCGTAATGTACACAATACACACGCTTTGGTAACACTGGGATAGGTAATGTAATTCAACTATTAGTCCAACAGATCTTGGTAAAATACTTTCGACACATTTTGGTAGAATACTATTTTAGGATGTGTGAAAGCAATACATGTCGGTTACCATAGAGTAATCGTAAAATTAACGAAACATTTTCATTCTCAAGATGTAAGTGCAACACCATAAAAAAAGTTTTTTAAGATACATGTAGTTCACGACAGTGTGATTAATACGCTTTCGCCAAATGAGTTAAAAACTGTTCATAAAACTGTTCAAGACATGTTTTCTCCTTAAAACTTGAAAGGTACTTCTATAGAAGCAGTGACGGACAGGGATTACTCTCCTCAGGACGAATATGGGAACTTATTGATCCAACACTGTACCGGACACAAACAAGCAAATTCATGGAATTGATATCCGCCGCTTGCAGGACATATTGTAGGTTAACATTATTGAGGTTAGGTTTAAACATGTGAGAATCGTGCTGTTGAGACATACTGTATAGCTTAAAACTTAAAAGTAAGCCCTATACCTCAGTGATTAGCCGTAAATATGCACAAATCACATAGGTTGGCAAACTTAGCATGAGTTGAATGTGCATAAGGAATTTGGTTAAAACATCTTAACAATATCTACAGCAACAAGTACTAATTGTAATGGGGGACCATTACAGATGTCCCACAAAATGCCCCCATAGTCGCAAAAATGCATCAGAAAAGGATCGCATTGCCATAGTACACCGAAATTGAACAATTTCTAAATTGCATACAATCAGAATTATCTTTGTAGTTGCTATGGCAACGGAACGTATGCGATTGAATTTGCAGTCCCCTAATACATACCCCTATATACCAATTTTCATAGAAATCAAACAATATCTAAATTTCGACCAATCAGAAGCCTCCGTGTGGTTGCTATGGTAACGAAATTTATGCGGTTTTATTCGCAGTCCCCTATATACCATTTTTCATAAAAAATATCAAAATATCTAAATTTCGACCAAACAGAAGCCTTTGTGTGGTTGCTATTGCAACGAAACCTATGCAATTGCGGTTGAATTCGCAGTCCCCTTATACCCCCCCAGATACCAATTTTCAACAAAATTGAACAATATCTTAATTTCCACCAATCAGAAGCCTTTGTGTGGTTGCTATGGCAACAAAACATATGCGGTTGAATTAGCAGTTCCCTAATATCCCTATATACAAATTTTCATCAAAATCTAACAATATCTAAATTTCGACTAATCAGAAGCCTCCGTGGGGTAGCTGTGGCAACGAAACTGATGTGGTTGAATTCGCAGTTCCCCAATATCCCTATATACCAATTTTCATCAAAATCGAACCAAGTTTGAAGAAAAACGGTTAACATTTGTTATAGTTATTGCACATAAACAAAACCCAGCAGATAATTATGTTTTTCTTTATTCAAGGGGCCACAACTCCGCCAAATAGGGTCTACTAAAAATGGTCATCGAACTTGGCTGAGCCCTGAAGGCATTTAACCCTGTGACCAAGTTTAAAGAAAATCGGTCAACATTTGTTGTAGTTATTGCACTGAAACGAAGTGTGACAGACAGACAGACGGACGGACAGACCCATATTAATATCCCCCGTTTCGGTGAAAGCGGGGGATAAAAAAGGTATAAAGACAGCAAATTCAATGAAATGCCTTTAACCTTCGGTGGAACGAAAATATAACTAATAAAAGCAATAAGGAATGTATTCTGTATGCATGTAATCTTTTATTCATTCACACATGAATAGTCTGTGCTATCAATAACAGCACAGGGTGTCCTTTATAACAACGACCGACATACAGTATGTACAAGTTATATACAAGTGTACAGTATATAAATGATATAGGACATCTCAACAGTAATCAACCTCTAATGTCAAGTTAATTCAGAGATGAAAGTTAGCCTATGGTCAAAAGACCGATATATGTATTTTTAAATCTATGTTTGGGGAAAATTTAAAGTCTGCATTTCACTTAAACTCTGAAAATGGCTAAAACCAGCCAAAAAAGCTGAAAATTAAAATTTCCGCCAATTGGTTACCAACGTAAATTACAGATAAATGACTGGTAATTATAAACCAATATGGGTAATAATATGAAGATCTGAAACCTTGCATATTTAGTTACAAAGGTAGAATAGAGAATTACAAATTAGAGCAGCATTTAAGGGCTACATTATCACAGTTGATCTCACAATGTACTTTTAAATGTTATATTGTTTAAACGACAGTGCTACCTATAGGCAAATGTGACTGAATTGATTGGTCCCTTGCTCAAATTCCAGAATTTAAAGCGGAAAAAAATCCAGCACCTGTGCATGTAAAAAATACTGTCAGAGTCAGACAGATGCCTTACAACAATAGCAGCTCCAGGTCCTATAAATTAAATGTACCTCTCAAGTATAAAAATACGTAATTGTTTTGCTATATATCTGAGACCATCTGGAATGCAAGAAAAATGTTGCACAAAGAAGACTAACTTATAACACATTTCAGCAAATGTGAACACTGAACAGTCTATGTTACATTTTAACCTTGATCCCCTCGTGTCAATGTTGTTCCAGTTATATCTGGAGCTACTTGTAGACATGAGCATGAAGACTAGGGTAGAATCCAAATGTAATGACATGAGCACACGTATTGCACTGGGAGGTGGCAAAAAGAGGTATTACTGGTAGACTAAAGTGTGGGTCATATCTACTGGACACCAAGTCTTCACTAACACTACAACTCCTAGTCTAAAGGAAAACTTACTGCACACTTGGTCCTGATTAACACAAACCTTTGTTAGTTTTACATGACCACATATTTCTATATTGTCAAATGTAGAAAATCTGTAAGATAGAAGTTCTTTCACTTAATTTGATGCTTTAATGATTTCAGATCAGTTATGTATGCAACTAATGATTTGTAAAGATCTGTATATTTAACTGAATGTCTGTAGCCTCACAGATAAATACGTTCACTAGAAATCAGTTAAGTACATCTACTGCATGCTCTTTATCGCTCTAATAACTGACACATAGACTTCATTTGCCTTATAAACCCAGAGATCCATCAACACAATTCATACTGCTTTTATCAAACAACACTTAAAATATTATAACAAAATATACATATATACAAAGCATAATACAGCTAAAGACCAGCAAATTCTCAGAAAGAAAAAAAAAAATATATTCTATTTCACTTAAATAACAATCACTTAAATCACTCTGCTCTAATTCAGTGCTAGTACTTATATAAATACCTACAGTTGTCTATAAGTTACAAGGCGTCTGTTTAATGTCTACAGTACAACACGCTGTATGTCAGATATAGTAGTTTAGCACTGAGTGAAACAGTAATAGACAAATGACAATACACATCTCTGAAATTTTATAAATATACCATCTTCTATAGTTTTGTCTCAGGACCCTTTACATTCAAGTTAAATGAAAGTAGGGGAGTGAACAGGATTTGTTTGTGTCGATGATCTTAACTTTTCCTGCCAATTCATCACACGACCTGTGCCAGCGATCATGTGAATGTTGTCAGTGAACACGACTGTCACCAATGATCACACGACCTGTGCTGACTTGTGTCAGTATCACCTGTGTTAGTGACCACATGACCTGTGTTAGTGACCACATGACTTGTGTAGTGACCACATGACCTCTGTTAGTAACCACACATGACTTGTGCTAGTGACCACATGACCTGTGTTAGTGACCACATGACCTGTGTTAGTTACCACATGACTTGTGTAGTGACCACATGACCTGTGTTAGTGACCACACATGACTTGTGCTAGTGACCACATGACCTGTGTTAGTTACCACATGACTTGTGTAGTGACCACATGACCTGTGTTAGTGACCACATGACCTGTGTCAGTATCATATGACCTGTTTGCTATTGGTGTATGTGACTAGATATATTTGACTTTCACATTTACACAATTCGTGAATGATTTCAGTATGAAATCACAGGCATCAAAGCCTTATTCTTTGTTTCCTAATACCAGAAATTTTATAATAGCAAATGGAAGTATTTAACTTTACAAAGACTTCACAAAATGTTCACGATCAATAAGAAATGTTTTCCTAAAATTACAACATAATTTTAGCAGCCATCAAAAGTGACTTGAAATATTCAGTCTGGCATATTCAGTACAGTAAGGGAATTTATGTTTCCATTTCAGTGATCATCAGACAATAGATATTATGATATTGAAAAAATAACTTATATTTACACATAAATTTATGAAAGTTTAGACTATATTAAATTTGTTCTGATCTAACACGTTTCTTTCCCTGTCGAACAGTTTCCTTGACAACATGAAAAGCTTTATTAAAAGAAATCCACAAAACATAACAAACTGTAGTTAAAATTAACATTCAACAACATTAACGATCTATCACCATTGACTTTGTATTACCAGAATATGAACTATAACTTTTTGCTATTCAACAAGTGTAGCTCAGCCAAAGCAAGCATGCACAACAGGACAGAAAAGCACAATTATACATATATCATATGAGAAATGATAACCTGAATTACTTACTAACACTTTTATTCCATTAACATATTTTACAAATAATTACATTTTTCAAACATGAAAAAATCTCTCAAAACTAGACAGATGTTGTTCCAGTCCCTTCCTCTCTATACCACTTGTAATCTATCAAGATTAAGATGTGATATAAGAGAAACAAGACATTAAAAGAATTATTTTTTTCTGTGACATTTTTCAGATCTCAAAGTCCCATGCGTTCGTCTGTCAAGATTCTTTGTCCAACTGGATGAGGTTTGGCAGAGAGATGCACTTTTGACTGGTTGTGTAATTTCTTCATAATAAAAATAATGATAAAACTTAAGTTATCTATTAGCTTATGTGTATTATATTTAGTGAAAAAAGATACGACACATTCTTACCAATTCAAAAAGCCATTACTATCAGTTTAAAACAGATCCAGAAATGGTTATCACTGAAACATTTTGTTCAAAATTATAATATTCTTCAAATATGAAATGTTTGTCATATTCCATCAATTTTTTTAAGCAAAAACTCAGCATAATCAAGTGTTTTAAAATCTGTGATTGAACACAAATTACCAATAGGAAGCTTGTACTGCATCATTTCCTCTAAGGATTTAAGTACTATATTTACAAGTCATTTTTAGGGGAACAGGATTCAGAATACTGAAAACAATTGTTTTTGTCTTTAAGAAACAGTTGTATTTTATCAATTTTGAGCAAAATGTATTGTTGATCAATCTAGGAAATTATTACAGTTGTAGTACCTTGTTTTATAATATTTTTGTTTTTTATCCTTTGATTCTGAGTAACAAGTAACGTAGATCTGTGTATCACATCTTGTATATAATTCATCATTTTTTTCAAAGTCACTAATACACAAATCTCAATGTACTACTGGGTTAATAAATCTTACTTTCCCCACCCCCACACTGAATAAAGAGGTGTACATGTATACCTCCTCCCCCTCCCACCCACCCCTTCACAGCTTAGCAGGTGTATACCCTATCCCCCCTCCCCACTGATGCACTTCTGCAGTATTCTAAATAAGCCCTCCCCAAACGAGGCAGCTAATAAGATCTATAATACCTCCCATTAACTGGGAGTTCTATCATATATTGTACCTCCCGCTAACTGGGAGGATGTTAATCACAGGATATTTCGCCCAAAAATATGTCCATTTCTGCAGTAGTACGTGAATCACTAAGGGCTCCGCCAGGACATCTTCTGCTCGGACGTCTTGTTGGTGGAATGATTGTCGACTTATGATCATCTTCTGTAAAAGCCTGTCCCCCCATACTGGCCTCACCTCTTTGGTTTGTCAACGTCAGTACATTTTTCAAGTTTGGCCATTCCCTATGTCAACCTTGTATGTGACGTTTAGAACAAGGTTTTTACAAAACAATCCAACAAAACATCTTTCTCATATTAAGAGGTCATATTTAGCACTTTCACCACTGTAGACCATAATGGACTTATTGTAATCAATGCATGGTAGAGTTTATTAAAGTTATATAGGGGTGAAAGGGTTAGAAATATTCTGAGTGCCCCTAAGTCCTTCAAATGTTTTCTTTCATTACAAGTTTCACACATAGAAACACCATTGAAGGTATTTCAGTACAAAAAGGCTTGGTCCGTAGTTATTTTAACAATACTAAAACCGCATATCTTGGTTATTTTTTCGTGTTTCCAAATCCGCTGAAAGCCTGGTCGGTTCGTTGTTGGAATGATGATTGTCCCATCATTGTGGACTGCATGTTCATTGATCCCATCATGCCCATACCTCCCTGCATATTCACAGCCATTCCTGTAACACAAACCACTGTACTCCTAAAACAGTAATATATTATAAACACAGCTGAAACAACAGCTTTCAAATGAAAATCTCCTTTTAGTTTTCTTTTACGCTTCTGTCTGAGAGATAGATATATATACATAGATTTACCAAAGCAGTGATACTACTCTAATAGTGATGCCCATAATCTGGAAGATTCATTTTTGATTAATTATAAAACCTGCAACAAAGCACATTGTAACATTCTAAGTTAGTAATAACAGTTACTTATGTACAACAAATCGGGCCAAAGTTTTGGTAGATGGAAATGAAAGAATCCTGACAAACACGTTTCTCTGTATAACTTGTTCCCCAATTAGTAGACACAATGATACGAGAACCAGTACTTGCAAGGCACTGTCAAAAATTTTGAAAAGTTTATACTATAGAAATTGTACAAGAAGCCTACCCATGCCCTGGCCCATCATCGGCTGGCCCCCAATGACCTGCCCCTGGGGCTGGCCAACACTCATTCCTGCCATGCCCTGGTTCAGTCCAACCATTTGAGTGTTCATGCCTGCAACAATGTGTTATACAATTAGTATACAAGCTACTGAAATAATAGTTACCTCCCTTAGTTTAAATTCCCTCATTTACCTCCCTTTGTATGCATGGATCATTCAAGGATATATCTTCTATAATGAATGCAGTAAATTATCATGCAAGTGTTAGTCAATTCTCTAAGTATAGTTGTTCTCCCAATGAGTAACCAGGTTACATTTGTAGCTCTCTCACAGTATCCATAATTATTTCGCTTCAATTTTTCACACACTTTAGTCAGCTTATTCAAAGTTTTGACAAGTGAATAAAAGGAAAACTTTTATATGAACTTTTACACTGAATATTATTTTCACAAGCAATTGACAATGTTCATTCATTTTTAATAAGCATGAATTTGGCAATCAAATTGATAACAATAGGATTTTCATTAACTTATCAATAAAACTCTCAGTTTGTCATATTTGATTGGAAATAAAAGTTGGAAATGAGCCACTGCTTTATTTATAACGTCGACTTAAACAAACATCTCTACTTGCTGTATTATCTTATAGGAACACAAATCATGTTTTGGTAATATAACTAATAGCATCTGAACATTAAACAATTTTAACACTGTTAACGGTTATATATAAAAACTACCATAGGGAATTTCCATCAACTAAGTGTATCACAAAATCACCACGACAGCAACTCACACATCAGTCAAATACAATTAATATCAACAGTGAAACATTGTAACGCTTCAACACGGCAGTCAAACAAGAAACGCTTCAACACGGCAGTGAAACATGTAACGCTTCAACACGGTAGTCAAACAAGAAACGCTTCAACACGGCAGTCAAACATGTAAGGCTTCAACACGGTAGTCAAAAAAGAAACGCTTCAACACAGCAGTCAAACATGCATTAGTATACAGAACTGCTGTAGGCACGAGGAACTCGCAAACAAAACACCACAAGTCAAAAATGCAGGCTTCTTAAATACTTCTATGTGTTCATCTATGTAAGCTTCTATATAATGTGTAATTAGTATTCACAATCGCTGTAGGCAAGTACAGCTCAGGCCTCCTTACGATAGGCTAACAGGACAAACAGAATAGTTTCCATGATCAATTACTAAATAAGACAACTGTATCAATCTATGGTGGACAAAGGGAACTATCTCATGAAATGTGCAGCGTTAAAGGATTCCGAAACACGTAAACATTTGAGGGAGATGAATTTATTTAATGCAATTTTGATTTATTATTTGCAACAATTTAAAATGCTTATCCTATAACTTACAGAAGCATTTTATGGTTTGTCCCGGAGTACATTTGAAATTACATTAAGAATAAAATTTGTGGAATATTTAACTGTGGCATGTTAGACCAATACTTCTAATAAGGTCATCTTTTGGTCATACAAGTCACATGTCCCTCACACAGGTGGCACATGTCGGTCACACAGGTCACATGTCCCTCACAAAAGTGGCACATGTCGGTCACACAGGTCAAATGTCCCTCACAAAGGTGGCACATGTCGGTAACACATGTCCCATGTCGGTCACAAAGGTCACATGTCCCTCACACAGGTGGCACATGTCGGTCACACAGGTCACATGTCCCTCACACAGGTGGCACATGTCGATCACACATGTCACCTGTCCCTCACAAAGGTGGCACATGTCGGTCACACAGGTCAAATATCCCTGACAAAGGTGACACATGTCGATCACACATGTCACATGTCCCTCACAAAGGTGGCACATGTCGGTCACACAGGTCAAATATCCCTCACAAAGGTGGCACATGTCGGTCACGCAGGTCACATGTCAGTCAAAGAGGTGACACATGTCGGTCAAACAGGTCAAATATCAGTCACAGCGGTCAAACGTCTGTAATAGAGGTGACAAATGTCAGTAAAACAGGTAAAATGTCCGTCACAGAGGTGACACATGTCGGTAACAAAGGTCACATGTCAGTCACACAGGTAAAATGTCCCTCACAAAAGTGACACATGCAGGTCAAAGAAATGGCATGTTGGTCACATAGGTCACATCTCTGTTACAGGTCAAGTGTCTTGGTCAGTACTATCATACACAATACACCTTTGTCACACAGGTCACATGTCATTCCAGAGATGACAGACATATCTGTCACACAGGTCACATGTCAGTCACTAAGGTGACACATTTATGTCACAGAGGTCACACATTTCTGCAACAGAGGTGACACATGTCTGTCACAGAGGTGACATATGTCTGTCACACAGGTCACATGTCTGTCAAAGAGGTGACATGTCTATCACACAGGTCACATGTCGGTCACAGAAGTGACACATGTCTGTCACACAGGACACATGTCAGTCACAGAGGTGACACATGTCTGTCACAGAGGTGACATGTCTGTCACAGAGGTCACACATGTCTGTCATAGAGGTGACACATGTCTGTCACAGAGGTCACACATACCTGTTACAGAGGTGACACATGTCTGTCACAGATATGACACATGTCTGTCACAGAGGTGACACATGTCTGTCACACAGGTCACATGTCTGTCACAGAGGATACACATGTACGTCACACACGTCACATGTCCGTCACAGAGGTGACACATGTCTGTCACACAGGTCACATGTCTAGGTTACACTTGTCACTTTTTTGTTACACAAGTCAAATGTGCCTGTTATTTTGGTCATGTGTTGATCCTAGTTCTCTGATGCAGGTCAAGCATCAGTCACACAGGTCAAGCATCAGTCACACAGGTCAAGCATCAGTCACACGGGTCAAGTATCAGTCACACAGGTCAAGCATCAGTCACACAGGTCAAGTATGCGACATAGGTGTGTCTTACAGATGACAGATGTCTCTGTTACACTGTCCAGATCAAAATCTGATGACCATCATCAATATTATTTACAAATTACAAATTAGGTTTATATTCAACCACTTTCAAAATATTTGAATTTTTCCTTCATAAAATAACTAAAATATATATATCTGCATTACAATATATCTTCTATAAGATCCCTTTTGCCTATAAAGGTGAAAACATGATCATGTTTCACTGATATTGCAGTTGGAAGTGTCTGGAAATTATTTTTTATGTGCATGTAGTAATAACAATCTATATAAAAAACAAATCATTCAAAAAACACCATTCCAGAAACTCAAAAAATTAAGATTAAGAAAACAAGGAGATTCAACTTTAATAGAAGTACAGATATAATGTTTTAAAGAAAGTCATTCACAATATGTCAAAATTAATTAAGAAAAACTCCATTACCAAAAAAAAGTAAAACTAAATCAAACATGAAAATCAGGAACTAAAAGAAATGATGCAGTTAGAAAGCAAATGAAAGACCAGTCTATGAGTAGAGGTAAGGACGTATAATGATCCTTGGTGCTGTACCAACCTGGGGCAATGTAAACTAGACCTGGGGCCATTTCTGGACTCCATACCATGGGGTTTAAGCCTTGATAAAAGACCAGGCAAATGTTAGCACCATCTACCAGGAGCCTATAGCCTACCCATTAGCCCCTACATATTTAAACTGAACTTGCCCAGGCTTAGATATGGTCAGTTCAAAAGAGACTTAAGGGGTGAATGAGTTAAAATCACAGCCATGTGTACACACAGTGCAGATATCAAATAACCAGTTAATAGCATAAACATGAAAATTCTGCTGATAAAAACTTATCTGCCAGATATCAAATTATATATCATACAAACGTGAATAAAAACACAGTGAAATGTGAAAATAATAACTTTTTTAATTTGAAAGTTATGAAATTACTGAATACGAAGCAATTAACACCAACTTAAAAAAAATCTTCCTATAATAGTTTCTGCAAGCTGTTAGGACTTAAGTTGTACAGAATTTGTTTACAAATTTCAAATTTATGTCAACTACAAAACACATATACACCATTAAAATTGATAATTTTATATTTTAAAATGAAATTTAATACAGCTAGACTTCAACAATGACTATCTAGTGACACAGGGGGGATAACTCTGACATTGCTGTTAATATTTACCGTCATCATCTGTTGCCGGGCAGACAAAAGATGAATTATCATTATATATCAGTACAATAAACAGTTGTGATTATCCATAATCTCTCCAACACATAACACTAACCAATAAAGATGAATTTCTACCTGAGATGAGTTATCATGTACAGGATTTGTTAACAGTATCATGCAAATATTACATTAGTAAGACTCTAAATATTACATCATTAGTTAGACTGTATATATAATAAGTGAGAAATAAACATGCTTCAGAATAGAAGTCTGTAGATCATATTTAGAATCCCATGTATAAATTGTCCATTGTATAACAATACTGAAGTTACTGTTATTTTAATGCATTACATATTACATTACTACAGACACTTTTAATTATATTACTTAAAATAATACAACACACGTTCTCAAACAAGAAGATAAATGTCTTGCAACTAACTTCTACAAATGTAAAATACTCCACGAGAACCTTTCTCCTGTAATCTAGAAGTACATATACATACACTACTAAATAACAAGACATACTTATTATATCACAAAGGAAGATAGTATAAGAATTTACCTTGCTGCTGAAGCTGATTCATGCTGGGTTGGTGTGGTTTCTGGAACTTGTTGGCAGGACTGAGGGCATCAAGACTGATGTTTACCTTGCTTGCATCTTTGGACCAGGTGTTAGCATCCTTCTGTTATAACAAATACAGCACAAAATGATGTCAACACACCTCAACACGATGTCTACTCATCAAAAAACAATGTCTACTCATCAACACAATGTCTACTCATCAACACAATGTCTACTCATCAACTCACAATGTCTACTCATCAACTAACAATCTCTACTCATCAACACAATGTCTATTCATCAACACAATGTCTACTCATCAACACAATCTCTACTCATCAACACAATGTCTACTCATCAACACAATGTCTACTCATCTATACACAATGTCTACTCATCAACACAATGTCTATTCATCAACACAATGTCTACTCATCAACACAATGTCTACTCATCAACACAATGTCTACTCATCAACACACAATGTCTACTCATCATCACAATGTCTACTCATCAATACACAATGTCTACTCATCAACACAATGTCTATTCATCAACACAATGTCTATTCATCAACACAATGTCTACTCATCAACACAATGTCTACTCATCAACACACAATGTCTACTCATCAACATAATGTCTACTCATCTATACAATGTCTACCCATCAACACAATGTCTTCTCATCAACACAATGTCTACTCATCATCACAATGTCTACTCAACACAATGTCTACTCATCAACACAGGGTCTACTCATCAACACAATGTCTACTCATCAACACAATGTCTACTATCAACACAATGTCTACTCATCAACACAATGTCTACTCATAAACACAATGTCTACTCATCAACACACAATGTCTACTTATCATCACAATGTCTACTCATCAACACAATGTCTACTAATCATCACAATGTCTACTCATCAATACAATGTCTACTTATCAATACAATGTGTACTCATCAACAAGATGTGTACTCATCTATACAATGTCTTCCCATCAACACAATGTCTTCTCATCAACACAATGTCTACTCATCAAAACGAGGTCTACTCATCAACACACAATGTCTACTCATCATCACAATGTCTACTCATCAACACAATGTCTTCTCATCAACACAATGTCTTCTCATCAACACAATGTCTACTCATCAAAACGAGGTCAACTCATCAACACACAATGTCTACTCATCAACACACAATGTCTTCTCATCAGCTCACAATGTCTACTCATCATCACAATGTCTACTCATTAACACAATGTCTACTCATCAGTACACAATGTCTACTCATCAATACAATGTCTACTCATTTATACAATGTCTACTCATCAACACAATGTCTACTCATCTATACAATGTCTACTCATCATCACAATGTCTACTCATCAAAACGAGGTCTACTCATCAACACACAATGTCTACTCATCAACACACAATGTCTTCTCATCAGCTCACAATGTCTACTCATCATCACAATGTCTACTCATCAGCTCACAATGTCTACTCATCAGTACACAATGTCTACTCATCAATACAATGTCTACTCATCAACACAATGTCTACTCATCAACACACAATGTCTACTCATTTATACAATGTCTTCCCATCAAAACAATGTCTTCTCATCAACACAATGTCTACTCATCAACACACAATGTCTTCTTATCAACACAATGTCTACTCATCAACACAATGTCTACTCATCAACACATAATGTCTACTCATCAACACATAATGTCTACTCATCATCACAATGTCTACTCATCAACACACAATGTCTACTCATCTATACAATGTCTTCCCATCAACACAATGTCTTCTCATCAACACCATGTCTACTCATCATCACAATGTCTACTCATCAACACAATGTCTACTCATCAACACAATGTCTACTCATCAACACACAATGTCTTCTCATCAACACAATGTCTACTCATTAACACAATGTCTCCCCAACAGCTCACAATGTCTACTCATCAACTCACAATGTCTACTCAACAAAACACAATGTCTACTAATCAACTCACAATGTCTACTAATCAACTCACAATGTCTACTCATCAGCTCACAATGTCTACTCATCAACTCACAATGTCTACTCATCAATACAATGTCTACTCATCAATACAATGTCTACTCATCTATACAATGTCTACCCATCAACACAATGTCTACTCATCAACTCACAATGTCTACTCATTAACACAATGTAACTACAGAATGTATCAGGTCAGAAAGTCACATACAATTTATATTGTCTGATAAAATGTTATGATCGTAACTGAATCACTGACAAATTACTATTTGCATTTTAACCTTGCGTTAATCAAGTCAATTACATTATATCAGTGGCACTTAAGTGATTACATTTTTTGTATTGATATTTGAAAATTCCCCTAGTACTAAAATACAACAAAATTACATTACCTGGTATATTAAACACAAAAATGTTTAAACAATACTTGTACATACACAAAGAGGAAGCAATAGAGAAAACGAAGGGAGGAAAGAGGAATACAAGATAAACGACAGGTGTACAGGTTTAGAAGACTATAAATCTGTATAATTTTTAGCATCTAATTGAATATGGCGAATATTTTATCATATCTTTTGACATATGTGGTATACAATACATTTAATAGATTTGTACTTAGAATATACATGTTTATACCCATATTTACTATCAAAGTTCAGAGAAAATGTTAACTTCTACATAAATATATACTATACATAAGACTAACTGTTTACTTCTGTATGTTAATAAAAGACTAATGAAAGTTATAGTAAAAAGTTAATTTCTGTTTATAAACAAAAACATAAAATTCTGTATTACAATAAATAAACTGTTTCAGATTTTCTAATCATATTCCATATATATGATTCCTAGACAAACAGTGTTGTTTAACTGTCCTGGTATTAAATAAATTACAAAATGACCCAAATTTGCAAATAAACATTTGGAAACATTAATAATCTATAATATTGCTGAATTGTTTTGGTAGCAATATTGTAGAACAACTGTTCATTTAAAATTATAAGCCTATTTCTTGTTCATTTAAAATTATAAGCCTTTTTCTTATCTCTGTTCGTGAACTTCATGACCAATTTTAATATTTAGAAAATTCAGTCTGAGATGAAGCTGACATTTCTATAAGTTATTCTCACATCAAACAAAAGTGTGTTTGTCGGATACCAGGACAGTTAAAGGAGTAAGACCAGTGGGTCTCCGTATATGGGATAACAGATGGCTGGGGATGGTCTGATAAATTACCTCCCCTTGGAAGTAGTTCGGGGGGTTGGGACTGTAAGACAAAACAGGGTTACCCACCTGAGGGGTGACTGTGGTTTGTGAGTGGGTGGCAGAAACGGTTGTACTAGACAAGCTTGCCTCCTTCGAGACTGACTGTGAAAAATGGACACTGCAACTTAATGTTAGCTAAACACACCACACAATATCTATAAGTGTGTCCCACTGCCTCGTGTTGTCTTGTACACGACGACTTCAATATGCTATATCATTATAGGGATGCCTCTTAGCATTATACTTTTAAGTTATCTCATTTTAATACATCAATTTTCTTCCTTTCATGGCACCCCCTCAAATAGTCTCACTTTATTTTATTGTAAGCAGAATGGGTATGTTAGTAGATAAAAATTACACCTAATAAAAAGTATTAAGTCATACCAAAGATATTGCCTGTACCTAGGCAAAACGCCATGGAGTGACCCTTTAGTTTCTCAAGTCAAACTTTAATAAATGAAATATTTATTTTATCATACTAAATGTTAATACCTAAAACCTGATCCTGAACCAATATATTTAAATAGTATCTAATTCTATGGAAGAAAATCTTCCAGACACAATATCTTTAATTTGCTACCTGTTTCAGTTAATTCATCCCTTGTCACCTTACTCTTTCCTAAGATACTAAATGACAGATTCGGGTCGCACTTAACCCTTTCACCACTGTGAACCATAATGGACTCATCCAGATAAACGTTTGCTAGAGTCTACTAAGTTACCTAGGGGTGAAAGGGTTAAACTACCAACAACTATAAAGTAAAATTAAAGTTAACAAATGGAGTCACTCGAGCTCTTGCCAGAGAGCAATGATTAATCATTCAATAATCATCTCCAATTCAAGTGCTAAGGATTTGTACATCTAAGAAACTATGTGAGACATTTAATTCTGATCCTATGTAATCTATATTGACATTAACATAATTGTAATGTTACCATGACAATAATTGAATTGCGTCACATTTAGGTACATATATATTATATGTAATAGCAGACCAGACTTTTATCGCATGACAAACTTATTTTTGATAAACTCTACTAAGACTGCGAGAAAAGTGATAATTTTCCATTGAGGAGGACACAGAAAGAATGATTATCAAGATTATGAAATGCATTAAATGTTTTTTATAATGATACAAATGATATAGCATATTGAGCAAAGAGAACAACAAAACCATGAAACAATTGAAGCAAACTTAAAACTAAAATCAAACAAAGAGTGATAAATGATATAAATCTGACACCATGAACACAATGTTAACAGACACAACATCAAAATCAATTATTGTAAAGGATGTTTAAGGAGAGCTAGAAAGTTTATTTATACATAAATACATGTACATTAAAATTCATTCATCTTGTCATAATGAAATGAAAATATTTTGATGAATGGAATAACAAAAGTATGAAATGATAAGTTATAAAAATATCAAATGTATATTATACCATATCAATATGAGCTACATATAATTCCCCAATTTTATAATGAATTGTAATATTTAGCACATGGATGGATAAAATGATATAATACATCAAATAATATTTTCCTGAAGTTAATTAATTTCATAATAAAAAAAGAGCCACACAAAATGCCTTCTCTTCCAATATATAGCTTGGAGTATACATAATATACATATCTATAAATTGCATGTGCAAAAGAAAGGTAAAATGAGCACAGCCATTTGATAGACATAATATTCTCACAAATATGTACAGTGGACCTTTGTTAATTTAGATTACAATATTCCTTACAGAATTCTTAAAATGATTTTTATTGAATACTTCCTAGTTGTTTATTTTTGTGCGGGTATAATTTCATGGGTGTCCCTATCACAACTATTTCCACTACAACAAGCACATAGGCGTTTCTGTTAAATTATGATCAGATCTGTACGGTACTCAGTGTAAATATGCAAAAGCATAAAGCTTGGCATGTCGGAATCAATCATTTAAACTGATTTCAATCAAGATGAATTATAATTATAAATTGTATATTATTATTCATTATACATGAACAGTATTTTGTTAACATCAAAAATTACATTTTGCAATGCAATATACCGGTAAGCAATTTATTGAGATAAAGGTCTTGAATATTCATACAAATTCTAATCTGGGAAATATCTAGCAACCAAACATTGACTTGGGATGCAGAAAAATGGTACTTCTAGCTGGTGGATACATTAGGTAGTTAGAATATTACAGTTTAAAAGGAACAGTATTTACATTAAACAAATTAATGATAATTAACAGAAATTATAAAATTTATTATTTTTTCACAATAATTGTCAGGTTTAAACAAAGTTCCACTGTACAGACCACCTCCACCATGCTCTAGCTCCAATGCACCAGAAATAAACACATTCAAATGTTGAACAAATAAATAATCAGGCCCAAGTTTCCTGAACATTCCTTACATCATTTCCTTAAACAGTGCCAATAATATGCACCTACATGTAGCCCCGTACTTTCAAGTTAAGGAAATTTCCTTACGTAATTAATTATAAGGATCCCGAGCTACCTTGTACAGATCAGGAATAAATTAACGATTCTAAGTTAAAGAAACATTTAAAATAAGGAATGTTCACGAAAAAGAGGCCAGATATAAGCTTTGCTTTGGATAAACAATATCATTAACATCCACATTTGTGAACTATATGCTACATGAATACACAATACTGGTATATACATGTACGTACACTGTCACGTTTCAATTATCATTACATAAAAGGACAAAACAGTAACAAGGGCTGCTTTCATTTATATGGCTGAAACCATCGAGATAGCACAGAAATAAACACACTTGGACCAGAATAGGGCTGATTTAATATAGACAAAACTTAAATTTAAGTTTTAGATTTTTATACAATATACTACAATCTAGTGGTAGTCAGCCTTTAGTTTCTGCCAGGTACAATTGGGCCTCTTAATCTACCTCCAATTTTATAGTAGTCAATAACTGTCCCAATATGTGGGGATCGTTTCCTTTCAGGTTCAACAAGTTGAAAAGCTTGAACTGGATAAATGAAAGCAGCCCAGGCGCTACATGTAGATACTAATGTCGAGATTGCTACATAAAGGGAGACAACTGGATAACATCCCCTATATTGCTTTACGTAAAATATACACTATTTTGATGATAAATTACTTTTTTTTCTATAAAAAAATAACATTATAATAAATATTTCGTATTCACATTGGATCCCCAGCCTTGGGGACTTTTGTGTTAAAATAGGGTGTGGAGGGTTAAAATTTGCATGAAAATGATTGTGATTGTGAAATTCATGAAAATAATGTCGGAAAATGTGACTTCCACATCAAACCTATTTTTCACTACAAAATTAGTTATGAACAGAAAAATGTGAAAACTGTTAATATTTTTACTGAATTTTGAGCATGTAAACCTTCCTGACATTCAAAGCAAGAACATATTTTTCACATAGCACCAAGTGAGAGATTATGACAAGCATAATGAAACATAGAAGGGGAAGTAATTCAGTTAGGTCCACTTCACAACATTTCAACCAATTTTTACACCGTTTAAACAGTATTTGTTATGAACTGTCCTAGCAAAGTGTATTTGGATAAACTCATAATTCAACTAATTGTTTTATCCATAAAGTGACACTGGGCAATTAGTAATCTTTTCTTCCATAAACTGACAGCATTAAAAGCAATGTATTGTATCAGTAACAGTTCTATAAACTCTACATATAAAACACACAATGTTGCTCTTCTTGTTTTTCGTTTTAAAAGACAAGATCACACTAGTACATTTTTCATGACAATTCTATTCATTTCATAGAAATAAATTCAAGAATCACAGATCAGATAGCTTTTATAAAAGAGCTGATCCAAAACTGGGCTGTTAATGAATACTGCTGGAGAGAAAGTATGATACTGTATAACATGAAATCTTCGTTGTGCATTTGTTGTTTTTCATGGTTGTCGTAGAACCACGAAAATAAATACAACAAATTTGAATGATACACGTGTCTACTGTTTGTTAATACGGGTTATCCAAGACAAATTGTACAACGAAACGATCAAAATGGCTTCAAACTACGAAAGAAAGTCCCCAGGAACCTTTCGTGTTACACAGTATTTACATTCCCTGTACAATATACCTTGTGCTCAATACATCAATCACCCATACTCCTATGTGCATCAAACAATATAAGTGTGCGGCAAATAATATGACAAGCAGAAATGCTCCATTTCCATTACAATCAATTAACATGCAGCCATCACCATAAACACTGATGGGAGTGTAAGGCAAGTGATGTCACAGTTATGTTTTATAGCCGAGTAAAGATGTACCAGTATTTGGGATTTTACTTTCTCTTACCAGGTAATAACAGTAATAAAACCACTTTTCATTCATCTAACATTTGAATTTTATTTGTATCAAATTCAAATTGTATATTTGGCTTCTTTAAAAAAAAAAAAAACATGTCACTGAATTTAATAAAAATAGATATTAATATACACAGAAACAGAAAAAAAATAAACAGAAGCTTCATGCATGAATTTCTTTTTCTTGTCAAACATGTCCGATTTGATTTTGATAACACCATCGTATATAATTTATATCACAACTAAGTATTAGCTAAAATATTGTAAAATTGAAATCAATGATGAAAATGTATATATATGTATTATATAAACAAAAGTTTAACAAATACTTAGATAAAAAACAAACATGCAAAACAAGCTGTATGATATACACAGAATGGATGGCTTAGAGACGGAGTGAACTTTCAATAGATAATGTAGGCTGTGTTTTGTTGTACATGTAGTGATTCACTGAAGTAAACGTGATGTCCTTGGAAGTTGACTCTAGCAGTTAACAGGAAAGTAGCTGTTCCCAACATGCTATAATTTTGTAATAGTCTGTGCAATTTTCATTCAATCTAGTCTAACTTAATGTAGTAGAGTTAAAGAGATGATTTTACGCTAGCAGCATGGACATTTTTCTAGGTAATACTTTTGTCAAATTAACATGTCAGTCCAATACACATGAATGCCTTACACTTGCGTTATATACTTGGGCAGTTACAAATACCGAGGGATAGGTGTGTTCAGTTACATAAATAATGGGTACATAAATGTGTAGTCAGGTACCTGTCATAGTAAGTACATTTTGTAAGATACATAATTTAATTTGTCATTATATCAACAAGTCCAATGTGTCGGCCTTGTGATTTATTCTGATCATACAGTTTATAAAAGACTGAGATAAACCCCTCTATGATACTGAAATTCATTAATTGTTAATAGCAACAGAACAATGTATGTAGTTATATCATCAACATCACTGACAATACAAGTTAACCTGATCAGACTGGTACCTGGTTCCAATATTGTGTACCCATGACAACCCTACTTCTATTTTTCTTTGCAAGCTCCTTCACATTCTACATGGCCAGGAAAGGCTGAAAACTCGGCACAAGTTGCAATACCAAGACCAGTGCAGAATACGTACCAACCTGTGTCCATGGTAACTCAGAGTCCAGTTTTGTGTCAGAAGTTGGAATGTTAGTTAACCATCCAATCAGAAACTACGTACCTGCATAGAAGAGACCCCTGTTTGCATTCCCATTCCGGATGCGTAACCCCTTCCCATTGGCTGGAGTCCTGGTGCCATCATATTTCCCTGTATCATTGGCTGTAAACCCTAAACCAGGAAGTGGAGTTAAAGACATCTTATTTTCAAACATAACGTTTAACATAAAACACTTTACACAACATATTCACAAAATCAAAACTTTGCACATCAACTCATTTTAGGAAATTAAGGAAATTTTAGGAAATCTATAAAAGCAGGTTTCTGGTTGACACTTCAGAGTACAAAACATGAGCCAGGACTGTTTTTACAGCAGTTTGTGACATGTACATATAGTGGCTGAGCGTGACTTGATGATTATGACCCGATCCTTGCGTCAAGATTTTGATACATTATTATAGGTTTATTGTTTTGTATGGTTTTATTCACAAATGCTCCATTAATAGCTCTACATTGTATTTATTATTGATCGGTGCATTTGAAGGTGAAGGACTTAAACATATTTGCATTCATACATTGATTTTGAATATAAATACATACATATGGAGTTAAATATTTGCATTATATTCAAGATTTAAGGTTTCTTGTCTCAAGGGAACTTCAGTTTTACTTATCAGGGTTGATTAATTATCTAGTATACACAAACCAAACAAACCCATGAATTTTAATTATCTTTAAAATACATATCAATCTGCATATCATGAACATTTTAGCATTAAACAGTATGATTACTGCAGTCCCTTTTTGCCCCTTTCTGAAACTGATCTCTGGAGTCACCTGCAGATCTAACCTCCGAGTTACATTTCCCTCTCTTTAATCTGATGTTTAAGGTCACCCTTGAATCTGACCTTTGGGATCACCTATGAACCTGACCTCTTCGGTCATACTTTCCCTCCCTTTAATATGACCTCTGGGGTCACCTATGAACCTGACCTTTTCGGTCATCCTTTCCCTCCCTTTAATCTGACCTCTGGGGCCACCTATGAACCTGACCTTTTCGGTCATCCTTTCCCTCCCTTTAATCTGACCTCTGGGATCACCTATGAACCTGACCTCTTCGGTCAGACTTTCCCTCCCTTTAATCTGACCTCTGGGGCCACCTATGAACCTGACCTTTTCGGTCATACTTTCCCTCCCTCTAATCTGCCCTCTGGGGTCACCTATGAACCTGACCTTTTCGGGCATACTTTCCCTCCCTCTAATCTGACCTCTGGGGTCACCTATGAACCTGACCTTTTCGGTCATACTTTCCCTCCCTCTAATCTGACCTCTGGGGTCACCTATGAACCTGACCTCTTCAGTCATACTTTCCCTCCCTTTAATCTGACCTCTGAGGCCACTCATGAATCTGACCCCTAGGGCCATGCTTTCATTTGTTTTACTGAGATCGTACCTGCTGCATGCCCATATTTGGCATTCCTGCGTACATGTTCCCTGCCATCATACCTGTGGGCTGCATTTGTGGTGGCATATTCATCTGCAAATCAAATTTTAGACATTTTGAAAAAAAGTTTTCAAACTGCCTAAAACTACACCACTTTTATCAAAATGAATATTCCATATAAATTCACCATGCTTGTCAGCTATCATGTTTTTCATGAAAACATTCATTTTCCAGTAAACTGCTGTTAATATCTTATTCTTTTGCCTCATATCAGATGTAAAACTTACTAATTATACTGGCTTAAATCTTTGAAAACAATGATGACCTTTCTTGAAATAATCTTGTGGGTGCATTTTACATCACGGTTTGGTGTAAAACTATCGATCAAATTACTTTTGTCTTCACTGACCTAGCTATTAAAGTGATTAGTGCATCAAAATGTTCCTTTACACCCAATGTACGTGTATTAAATTTGTGTATTGTCCCAACACTTTAAAACAGACTGGTCCTTTTGTTAAACCAAAGTTAAAGCTAGGACAACTTGGAATTATACTCGGATTTCCTTAACAAGTGACACTCCCTTTTTTCGCACAAAAGTAATCCTGTTAAAATTCACATTTTCATTTTGGCTTAAAATCTGTGATATCATAATATATAAGACAGTTCTTACAGGACATGGTTCAAAATGAGCTAGATATTTAAGTATAATCTCTGACTCACTGGGTTTCCCTGCATAGGAACCTGAGTAGCTTGGGGCATTCCCATCATTACAGGCTGGGCCCCAAAGTTCCCCATAGATGCCATGGGTTGTCCCATTAAAGTTCCACCCACTGGGGCCATGGGTTGTGACCCCATAGTCGGCATTGGGATGTTTGGTGTTTGTTGGGCTGGCATAGCGCTACTAGCACCACCAAACATGTCAAACAGATTATCTTCTCCGGATTTGGTAGCTGGTGGGGGAGCAGATGACCCGCTCCCTGCTGCATTAAAGGCTGTAAAATCTGCAAACTCTCCACTGTTTCTGTAACACAAAATATAAGGAGTGAGACTCCATAAAGAAATAGATGTTGCTAGTGTAAAATGTGCAATTCTACGTTAAGCAAACTTTGCAGTATGCTCAATCCCCTGGACACCTGCATTACCCCACACATGTGTCAAAAATCCTACTACTCAATATAGACAATATGTTTGATGGAAAGGAAACACTACCTGTAAACATCAATGTTAATGGTTACTTCTTTTTAGGTTTTCAAACACTTTTGAACATTAAGATATGACTTTTGTGCAATTAAAGTATCTGTAAAAGGCCTTGACAACAAAACTGTCCTATGGCAAGGCAGACGAAACAGGCATAAATAACATGGAATTTTGTCCATGAAATCCCTGGCATTTCCACAAGTGGACACCAGGATTGTTTCTCCTTTAGTCATGTTACAAACTGTGTGTTTGATCAAGTCTCAGCTGTGTATAACTGCAATATGTACTGTTATACAGGTGTTCTATTTAGCTATAGTCACCACACAAGTTTCTTGATGGCAAACAAACTGGTTAAACTTGAGCTTATTTTTTACCTTTCAAGTGTTCCACAAAGACATGTCTTTCCTATGCAGTAAATCAAATGTTTACATGTAACACTTACCCTGTTGATGCTGTGGAGGTGTTACTCTGGAATTGTGAGAAATCAGCAAAGTCTCCTGTACCTCCTTAACAAAAGACAATTATTTACATCAATCTTACATTTCTAAGGAAAGACTGACAAGAAAACTTTCTTGTTCAATGCATATGTCTGAAGCAATATAGAATAGATTTTTCTATGGTAAATCGAGGAATGATTATCCCCTTATTAGGTCTATTAATAAGATTAGTTCCCAATTGAAAATATGCCTAATTAGTCAAGAAAAATTCCAATTTGAAAAAAAAACACTTACAAGAATTACACAATGTATTGCAATTTCACAATTTATTCACATTTTCTCAGGGTCCATTGCCCAAAATTACCTGATAAATCCCGAAACTAAATGATTAAAAACACAATACCTTGTGGAGATGTAGCGCCTCTTGGATTGAAATCTCCATTGGAATTGGCAGATTTGAAGTCAGCAAATTCTGATGTTTCCTGGGAGTTATCTGCCCCTCCTAGACCCATGTCAATGAGGCTTGAACCATTGTTTGTTATACTGTTGCCACTAAGCTGAGACTGAAATACACAATGATGACGTGGATAAACATTGATATGCTACACTACCCACAATAAAATATAAACTTTCTGTATTTTACAACCATCATGGAACAAGTTATATACCTGGAGTACCCAGAGTAAACCAAAGTGGTCGGGCAGGTCACGGGCAGGTCACGGTGAGGTCACCCCACACTTTTTCACATCTGATCAGGAACTGAACCCTGGCCATCTTGGTGAACGGTGAGTGTGCTATCTACCAACCGACCACCCACAAATTTGTTACATTGATACTGCCTACAGTCATCCTCCCTTGATGTTGTAAAAACTACCTACTGACCTCTCTGGGTCAGTATTCTACACCACATAGTGCTACAGTACATTGTGTGTGTTTAATGATTAAAAGCTGAAAAAATAAAATGTATTTTGGAGGCTCAGTACCACTACTCTTCCTTCAATAGTACACCTCAGTTTCCCAATCATACTCACTATGGAATCTTTATCCTTGCCGTATGATGATGCTGCCCCGAGGTCAAGTTTCTTGGCTGACCTTGACCTCCTGTTGTGTGTGATTTTTTCTGTACGTGTTGTATGTGTTCGCTCTACTGACGTATATTCTGCATCATCATCTTTGAAATTAAAATCATCCTTGTCATTTTTCGATCTGTTTTCTGGCTCATCACTGGAAAAAATACAAGATTATTATCACTGTTACTATTGTTATGATCATGATCAGTTTCAATTCTGTTGATCTGCGAATGTAAGACAAGAGGCCCAATGGGCCTGCATCGCTCACCTGGTATTAATCTTGCACTTGTAACCTAAAAGGCAATCTTAAGTAAAGCTACAGGCAAAATATCAGTATCAATGACAGCAAGTCTTTCAAAAATGAACCTGTTAAAGATTTTAAATCATTTGACCCATGTGACCTTGATTTGCGAACAAGGTCGTTATGTTGAACTAACTTTAAAGCCTTTCATTTCAGCATGCAACTTGCCAAATATCATCATCCTAGATCTTTTGTTTAACGAGATTAGGTCATTTACATATCTAACCAAATGTGACCTTGAAAATGGGTCAAGCTCATTCAAATGACTTGATAGTCCTTCATCCAAATATCAATATTCTGGGCATCGTGGTTATTCAGAAGAAGTTGTTTAAAAAATTTAAACAAATTTGACCCCTGTGACCTTGAACAAACTTGGTAGCTCTTTATAATTATCCAAGCATGGTAATGACCAGATATCATCATCCTCAGCCTGTTGGTTATTCAGGAGAAGCCATTTAAAGATTTCAAACATATTTGACTCACCCATGTAACCTTGAATATAGGTCAAAGTCATTAATTTTATAAACTTCGTAGCCCTTCATCCAAGCATGCTAATGGCAAAATATCATCTTTCTGTGCTGCATGATTTTTCAGAGAATGTCGTTTAAAGATTTCCTCCATATTTAAGGTCAAAGGGCAACATATAACAGATCAATTCTGAATCCAGTGTAATGAATACATGCAAAGCATTCTGTTAGAATTAGTGAACTTTGTCAGGGCAAGTCATTCATCATTCTTAAAGTATCGTTTTTTGAGAACTATATATATATATATATTGTCAGGGCATTCTATACATCCTTTCCCAGGGAAATTTTGAAGCACAAAATATGAGTAGATTTATTTTCCCCATCATTTTCAGCCCAAGAAATTACCTATTCATGTGCAAATTACGTAGCCTACATTATTTTATTTTTACAGTGTATACATGTAGCTAGGTAAAGCAGGTACCGAGTACACGATGTATATATGTGGCTACATTTTTTATTACAACATGAAAGAGATTTCTAAGCAAATTAGGAACAATGCTAGTATCTTCTATCAAATTAAACTAGCCCGTCTTTTTATTAAGAATTATCTGATATTTAATTTTCTTCTTTTAAATTATCTTATTCTTGTTCAAGTCTACACACTCCAAATGCAGAAGAAAAAATTGAAGCCCTAGGCCTGTGCAAGTACAGAATAATCACTTCTAATCATAACAACAAACAATACATCAGTTATCTTACCACATACAACAATACACAAACAGATGTTGTACAGCTTCCTACCACATACATAAATCAGAATCCCAGGTTTTGATAGTTTTCACATCATTATTTTTTAACAATACAAGAAGTTAGTTACAAATTGAAAATCCTGAATATTGAAATTTTAATTATTTTTTGGAAACTTTCACAGAATTGTTTCCTATTTCTTTATCCCATGCCTTCAATTAAATTTTAAGAAGTATGATAGCATCATGTTAATAGTATTAGGTAATTATTCAGTTATTCTTTGAAATTATTTTAGTACAATCAATATAAATTGAAGCAATGACATTCATTATAGAGTGTACCAAGTATTGTTTAGTTTTCATATTTGATGTCACAATGAATATGTTCAGATGATATTAAGAATACATTAACAGCCTACATTAGACTTAAATTGTATGGGCTATTCCTGAAATAAAAATGTGTGGACAATTTTCACAAGATTTTTAGCGTGTTTTTAAATTAGTGCCAGGCTGTTACTCTTTGCATGTTTTAAGTACAAGGGTTGATATAGCATGCTAGTTAGTGATCAGCATATCAAACTAAACAGCAATGTTGTTAATATGATGTGCAAGTTAGGAGTGACGTACATGTATGTATTAAAATTACAACAAAAATGTACAGTTACACAAGCTATACTAATTAAAGACAACAATCAAACAACATCAATATCCCTTATAAACATGTGTAAAACTAATGCCTACAACACCTCTAGGTCTGTGTACTGATAATACGGGATTATATATTTACGCTTAAATAAGGACAATATTTGTAAATAATATCAAAACCCAGTATAAAATGTCATGATGCAGCATGCAGTTTCTATGAAATCATGTGCAATATTTTCTTGTCTTAATGTAAGATTTCATATCCAAGTCATGCTCCAATCCTGGGTTATCTACAGGTAACACTGACTGCCATATCAGGACCTCAATCACGTGGACCATGCTTTATACATTCCCGATTCCCCTCAAATATCAAACTTGTTAGGACTCGGAATAGAAATAAAACTGCTCTCTGATAATACTGACATACTACAGCTGTGTATAAATTGTTAATGACACATCTAGAGTGTATTTGGGTGTTTTTTTGTCCTTTGATTCCAATTTACAGATTCTTCAAGTCTGACATTCATCCTAACACTTCGTACCCAAGTCACATTTCCTTTTTTTTTTGTTATCTTAAAACACACCAAATACAACAAATGTTTTAAACGAAATTTCTATACACAAGTGATGCAAAAGTTGGGAGTCCTTATGAAACTAGTTGGAGTCCATATGTAAATTTGAATCGGACATGGTGTCAACTCCACAAGTTTGATATGACATAGACCTGTGTGTAACCTTTGTGTACCAGACAGAGACAGTGCCCAATTCAACAGTTATAGTTTTCACAACACCAATTATACCATGCTCTAACATTTCCCAGTCCTGCATACCAGGTAGAATCTCACCTAAAGTCTGTTAAACTGCTTCTGCGGGCGGCAGGAATCTTGCTTGAACTAGAATATTTCACAAAATGGGTATTTTACAATGACTGAAAACTGCCAGATAAATATATCAGAACCTACCACATATCTTTAGGTAAACACATGGGTCGATAAACTATCTGATTTTGTTTTGTTTTTAAAAACATTTAGTGTCATTTCCGTTTCAGCTTTTGATTTTCCTTTTCAAATAACAGTAGTTTTGCATAGTAAATATAGATGTAAAATTATCAAACTGTGAAAAACTTCCCCAAATCTACAGGCAAGACTTGCAGAATATCTCCAGAATGCTACATGTGTTTGGTTATTCAAACGAATAATTAAGAACACTGACAAAACACCATATTCACAAATGTCATCCAATCTGAGGAGCTTTTAATTAATACTTCACTATGTGCTTGGTGATTATCTCCCTTACATTGATCCACTAGGTATAACAGTACATACTTTTATCGTTTTGTATTTTCACATAGCTTGTTATCATAATTCAGCTTTGACAAGATTGATTTCATCTAAAATCTTTCAATTCAGCATCATCAACTAATCCTATTAGAAGTTCCTATTCTCAAGTGCAGTTCCCATTCTCAAAGGTAGTAACTGAAAGCTTAAACTAATATCATAGATTTATGTTTGACTATCGAAACTTCCACACTATCCTGTACAATTCTGATGTTACAATAGAGATCATTGGTTCAACAGCAAAAGGCAATAGAAACTGTAAAAAAAAGAGTTACATTTTGAAAATTTGAATACTGTATGATTTTGTGAGGCAGGTGCTGCCAGCAACTGGGGGTTTAGGAAAAGTACTTGCCATGTGGGACTTTCTGCTGTCAGCAGACCACAAAAATTAATGAGATTATAATTAAAAAGTTTCGACATATTGACGGCTATAAAATAGATTTTGTCTTCTTTGCAGTTGAACACAGGATGGGAATGTATGTCCTCAAATTGAGCATTGGGCAGGGCATTAAAACACAGACCAAGATTCTGGAGTTAAGTCTCAAAAGGAAACCTTTAAAACATACTGTATTCCTAACCCCTGACCCTTACCTGTAATCAACTACATCGTCTGGTCCCTTACGGCCCTGTACTTTGTTCCAGAGCCCCTTTACTTTGTCCACAGCTTCTCCCGCCATCGTCTTCCGGCCGCTGTCCCACTCTTCAATTTCATCCATCTTATCACGGTTGGACGGTTCCTCGTCATATCTGTCACCTGTTACATCCAACCAAACGTACATATCTAACACCAGACCAGGTTATAAATCTATATTAAGAAGGTAAGAAGACAGGAATTATGACTCCATACAACAATTCTTGCTGATACAAGTACATTGTTCCCAGATCTATAGGTGCATGTGTCTCAATCCAATTAATGGTCGTCATACACAGGATTCTTGTAGGTACAGGTAATTTTGATTCTAACTGTACAAATACAGTATACAAGTCTGAAATTATTGGGATTTTTGACAAGAAAGCCTTTAGCTTTAACAGTCGAGGGAGTTTGTTGTTATGGAAATCATTTTGTATACATTGCAAGGTAAGGCCAAAAAAAATGCTAACTTGGTTCTCAGGCCCGCGCGCATTTCATTGCGCCGTGTGCATTGCCGATTTTATCGTGAAAGTAATAAAAAACAAATCGTGAATGCGCCAGCCGCCATCTTTAAAAAAAATCCGGAAAAATTGGTCCGCATGTCGTTTTTACTCGTTAGTCACCCAAGTCCCGAAAACGTTTGAATAAAGGTAAGGATTGAGATACAGGCAAGCGTTAAAATGATTATGACTTATTAGTCTTGTGTACAAATGGCGCTCATTTCGGTACAAACAAGGAATGGGGGGTTCGTGATTCTCGTCTGGAACATCGTGGGGGGATTTTCGGAGGCTTGCTCTATGACGGGTCTCTACACAACTATAAAAAGACAAGGTAATGTCCACAATATTAATGAACATTTTACAAACTACACAATAAAAAAAAATCGCCCTCGTCTCGTTTTTGCCATGTAAAATAAAATAAAAATACCGTCCTGCCGCATCTATTTTGAAAAAAATTGGCCTGAGAACCAAGTAATTAATTTTATTTGGCCTTATCAAAGTAGATATAAATATGGACATTGGATTAGCTGACAAAATGATGTTGGGCAATGAACAGTATTTAAGCTTACTGGAATGTATCTATTGCCCAGTGAACTCCCTCCTTCCACTACTACTGTGTTATTTACAAGAGACTTACTGTATCTATTGCCCAGTGAACTCCTTACTTCCACTACTACTGTTATATACAAGAGACTTACTCTATCTATTACCCGGTGAACTCACTCCTTCCACTACTTATGTGTTATTTACAAGAGACTTACTGTATCTATTGCCCAGTGAACTCCCTCCTTCCACTTCTACTGTGTTATATACAAGAGACTTACTGTATCTATTACCCGGTGAACTCCCTCCTTCCACTACTACTGTGTTATATACAAGAGACTTACTGTATCTATTGCCAGGTGAACTCCCTCCTTCAACTACTACTGTGTGATATACAAGAGCGTTACAGTATATATTGCCCAGTGAACTCCCTCCTTCCACTACTTATGTGTTATATACAAGAGACTTACTGTATCTATTGCCCAGTGAACTCCCTCCTTCCACTACTTATGTGTTATTTACAAGAGACTTACTATATCTATTGCCCAGTGAACTCCCTCCTTCCACTACTACTGTGTTATTTACAAGAGACTTACTGTATCTATTGCCCAGTGTACCCTCTCCTGCGACTCCAACATATTTGTCTTTGTTCTTTTTTGCTTTTTTTCTTTCGTCTCGTAACTTCTCGTCATTTTGAATGAAGTCTAATAGTTCTTGTATCTTCTGTCGTACTGCAATACAATAACATTAAACAACAATCTTATAGTCAGACTTATACACAGTTCGACCCGTAACAGCTAGTATATATAAGTCATAGCAGATACTAACAGAATATATATATACAGTTTGACATATTCTGCTTGATAAACGATTGACGACACACACTTTCCAGCAAAGTTTGCATCTGTAAGTGTAAGGCGATTGTATAAAAAAAACTCCCCTCGGAGGCAAACCCAGATTAACACTACAGATTACAACATGTAGAAGTAGTCTAGTGTTTATACCGATTCAGATAAATTAATTTCCTCTAGCCAAGTCAGTAATACTTAATTACGTGGTTCACATGTAGCAAATACACTAGATCTCCTTTCTATAAAAGACCACATCCCTAAGTCTTTCTGGGGACAACATACCCATTCGATCATGTTAAAGTGACTGTTGTACATATTTCAAATATTGCTGAAATAAATTTATCAGTAGGTTTTCACTACATTCTATTAATTTTGTTTTTTAAGGAAGATTTATCCATGTTGTTTGAAATTCAGATTGTTTAAAAATAATTCTCAATAACCATCAGAAACCCATTAAAGATTTCATATAATTTGAAGAAACTGTAGGAATGTTACTCAAAGAGAACATCAAACAAAATATTGGGGCCCCGGATTCACTGACTAAAAGAATTTACTACTTTTTCCATTGGAAAGTATTGCCAGAATTCTTAAATTACAATTTTTCCTAAACTCCAAAAATGCTTCCGAAATGAAAAACTGAAGTTAAGAAACGTCTGTGAAATCTAGATCTATTAAAGCCAGATCCCTATATATATGTAGCTTAAATTTAGGTATCGGTGGTAATGAGTGATTGTTAACTCATTCAGCCCAAAATTTCATAATGCACTATTCCAACCTTTGAATTGAAAGAGTTCAAATGTGTCTTTAGGGATGAATGAGTTAAAGATGCTCTACAAAAAATAAAATTCTGCTATAATGTCCAACAATTACTTATCTGATGCTTTACTGATTGAGTACTATAGATATATAAATATGTAATATTTCAATGTCCTTATCACCATTTAATCCCTGGTCCTTTCCATGCTCATCTGTGAAAGTGTAGCTCTCCAGACTGCGGAGGTCATAAAGGTGTTCCCTAGAGCTTGTAACCACACGCTCCGACCCGTTCTTTAGGAGATATGTCAGCAACAGTAATGACTACAGCATAAGAAAACACAAGCATGTGCACGTGATATACATCCTCTTAAAAATAGGCAACACAAACTTATTTAAGTCAAATGTGTATGTAAAACAATTCAATGTAAGAATTTTAAAACTAACAAAATTTCACTTAAACGGACACAATCAATTACAAGAAGTGCTTTCTGCTCCTGCTAGCGACCATGTAGATATAGTGCTTTCTGCTCCTGCTTGCGACTATGTAGATATTCAGATTTCTGCTCCTGCTTGCGACCATGTAGATATTCAGATTTTAGTTATCAAAGTTATTATGAGATCAGAAATCTAAAAGTTGAGTTGGTAATTGATATTAAAGGCATGTGTAGAAAGTTTCATGAAAATCAAAGTGATTCAGAGTAAAATACAGCAAGTACATGTAACTGTTGTTATTGATATGCATAGAAAGTCTCAATAAAATCAAAGCATTCCTTAAGAGTTGTTGCACGAAAACCATTGGTGCAGATATAACAATGAGATTGTGATCCCCATGTTGTTTTGGTTAATTTCGCAGCTGGCAACTCATAAAGTACACATCCAAATTTATAGTCTGAATTGTATCATTAGAGTCATTCATTTAACCAAATCTCATCAAAAACAGCAACAAAACTGGCAATTAATAATGTGTAGCTTTAATATCATGAAAGTGATTAAAATATCAGTTTTATGTAACCACACACTTAGTATGTACAGACCTTATAAACCACACACTCCGTATGTACAGACCTTATAAACTCTCCTCCAGTTTTTCTTGTTATCGTGCAGCATGCGTTTCCACAACATGCCCATCACCTCTGGAAAGTGTTCATATGTAAATGTGAAGCGTGCTACTTCCTGCATCAATGATCCGTGGGGTCCCCAGGCTTCATCACTTGTAGCCTCTCTCACCTTCGTCTCCACTTCGGAGTAGTTCATCACCACATTGGTGCTGTAAGATAAAAATCATCTTTACTTTAAAATCAAGAGATCAGAAAGAGATATTTAAAATATTATGTACAGTTAAATATAATCTGTGAGTCAATTTCTTTATTCAGTACTATCATATATTTACCTTGCATTGGTTCAAAAGAAAAATTATTTCTTTGCAGGCAACAATAGTGAAAATTGTGTGATCATAAAATAACAATTTGTTGCTTTAACAAAACTTCTTCTACCTATCACGGTCGCCATCATAAAAATTGGTTAAACGAACTGATGTGTTGCTTAGCAGTGTTATTGTATAAGAAAAAGACAAATGCACAGCCAGACTGGGATTCGAACCTGGGACCCTCCGAACTTGAGACGGACGCTCTACCAACTGAGCTATCAGTTCTGCTACATTCTTTCCTTCATTTTCTAAGTCTTCGTCCTCAAAGACACAACTGTTTTACAACCCAGATTCTGATATCCCCTTGCCAAGCATTCACCCAGTACTTAAAACACGGGTTGGCAAGCTCGCCAATTTTGTAATAGGAGAAGGAGAAGTGTAAAGTTGAGACAGGAATAGGAAACCTGAGGAACTTCCGAACACTAGACGGACGCTCTGATACACAATTGACTACATATATGGTCACCAACGATTGACCCAGTCCATTCTGCTTCAATTTTACTTAGTTATATTTGCATTTATAATATTTGATGTTTATAAGTCTTGTCTTGTTCTGTAGTTCTTCCTTCCGTTCTATTTAGGAGCTGTCCATGAAGGAAAATATTACTGAAGTTCTTAAAATTCTGTTTCTAACAGTAGAATATCAGGCTTGTTTGACTTTAAAATTCATATAAAACACGGTATAAAAGTAGCGTTTGATCAACACCGCATCCACTTTGTATAAATTTGTTTAAAATACTTAGTACGTCGGTGATTTATTTTGCTCAGTTTTACTGCAGAATTCAGGCTATTTTCCTAGCTACAAGTGTCTTATTTTCCAAAACTGAGGAACATATTCCCAATTTTAACACAATTAATGCTATATTTTCCCAATTTATTAAGGAACAGGCTGTTGCAAAATTTAGGTATTAAAAACACTGTACATAATGTTCATCTGTAGTTCACAAGAAGGCTTGTTAATATTCTCGCGTACAGATGGAATTTTCTAGTTATTCCCCTCCCACTTCCTTCTTGAAATAGCGCATGATGTACTGTATATATGTATAACAATAATCAGGCAGACTCATCATACTATGACATATAGCCGTCCTATTTAGGGGTATCGAGTATAGCAGAACTAGACTGGGTCTTTCACATGCGACCACGTAGCTCAATTGTTTAAGCATCCATCTAAGAGTTTGGAAGGTCCCTGTCTCGTTGTGCTTTCTTCTGATCCTAATAAAAATTACATACTGGCCATCTGTTTCCTCAAAAGACACAATACAAACCCCTAAGAAAGTAACTGAATAACATTTTCTTTTTATTAAAGAATTCAACTGCAGGTTTCTGAGATGGCATTCACAGACATCTGTACCAAAGCGACCTCATGAAGTGCTGNGGGGGGAAGGGGCAAACTGTGTCACATAATGACATGGTGGAAAATTACGTTTGGATTGTATGGGATTTCAAGGGGATTACCAACATATTTGTATGATTATTTAAGGAACTGAATCATTGCACTACACGAGATTTAAATGTGAGTTACCTCACTTAATAACATGGAGGACAGAGGGGTTCCTAACAACATACAGAACATGCACAGCAGAGCTTTATTTATTTGTTATTTCGAATTCCTTGTTAATGAAATTCGGTCACGTCCAAGTAATTCATTCATTTTCTTTTTTCTTGTACTCCTGTTTGAAAAATAGGTGTCTAACAAATGGTACGTGGCAGCAGTGACATATTTTACATTCCCCAAATCATGGAGGAGTTGACACTCCCATCACTCCTCCCCTTCAAACACAGATAGTCAATCAACCACAGCAAAACTTAACATGTCAACACTTCAGTAGTTAAGTCAATATATTTCAACACATTTTTCTACCGAATATAAACGTATATATCGTCAGCAGTAGAGATAATCATTTATTTAGGAAAAAATAAATATTGACATCGAAACGTCAAAGCGGAAGCCGGTGTCGACGTGGAAGGTCAAGGCCTGAGGTAACGTCCAACATCCGCTAGAAAAGCAATATAAAATAACAAAATATATACTTACACTTTATCTGTGATCTCCCTCAACTTCCACATTTTGTCGGCGAACATCTGATTACTTTCCTGGTTCCCTTATTAATATCCCAACCCCCGATGTTATAAAGATGATTGGGGATTCCTCAGCTATGGTTTTTCACTGACAAGATGATCGCTTGGGCTCTGTCACGTGACCAAGTTAATCGGTTATTTTTAGAAGGGAATCCTTTGGAAAGAGAACACCCACCACCTACAGAGATATTTGTGGACATGACTCACACTGTATATAAATAACTTATGTATCACAGGTAAATATTATTAATAATTAATTAAACTTGAAGATCTATTGAGTATTTTGTGTGGAAACATCATCTGCATTTTGATTTGATCAATATCAGTTTTAATTAATTTGAACCAGAGACGCGGTATGAAGCCAAATATATAAATATATTATACTCTGCTTGAACCCAATACAACATAATTATAGTGTATATATCGCTTCGAGCATTACCATACTGCACAGCATTTCAGATAGTAGAATGGCAATGTATATTAAAACTATGTCTACAAATGTAAAATTAAATTAGATAAGTGGGAGAAAAGGTATGCATCGATGTTAGAAAATTAAGTAATTGCTTTCAGCGAATGCGTAAAATAACGAGCCTAAAAAACATACAATGTTTCTTAAGTATCTACTTTCAGGTTATTTTTTAATTACGTGTAGTAAACACAGTCCAAATAGAAAAAAAATATCATCTTATCAATAAGTAATCTCATTTTCTGAAACCGTTCAAAATTGAGTCCATATGAAGTTTCATATAAATGTATGCAAGGTCAAAGATCAAAAGCGAAATTTAACTACATGTAGTACCATAATTGCATATTGAAATTATCGAATACACTTTACAAAAATATGGATTATTTATTCAATCAGACACTTAAGCCCTTTTCCACCAGGTTTACATCTGTATCATATATAGTGTCTGGTAGAATTAAGAAACCAATCATTATACAAATACGCACTTTGCTCTACTCCTTCAAAAATATCAATAACTCTTGCAGGCGTACACGTGCACTTCAACTTCTGATTCCGAGTATACGCGCAATATGTCGGTAACATCGACCAACTGTTACGATTCTAGTTATCACAGCTAAACTAAAATGCATATATACATATAGACTATATACATATCTCTGATGTGTCATACCGTAATTTTGGTGAATGACTTCACTGTACCCATTGAATAGCTGTCTATTGATTTGACGTAAGATTTTGAGTAACAAATATCACGGAATTAAGTCCGTGACCTCACTGGGAGAAGACCTTGTAAGTTGCTAGAACTTGTGCCCAATCCCTTTGACTCTTCAATGTCGATAAAATATGTTTGAATGTCTGTCAATCGATTTGTCTTAAGATATTGAGTTACAAATATCACGGAATTAAGTCCGTGCAATTATCTTAAGAGAACTCTTAAATCAACTTCACGTAAGTCAGTAAAACGTCGTGACCGACCGGCACCTGTCAACGTATCTACACCGAAATCAGTAAACAATGGGTACATTTAATTCAATTCAAGGCTTTTTATTGATTTTAACAAAGGGATCAGACAGACTATATAAGTCATCTCCCACTCCAGTTACAGAATGTAATCAAATATAGATTAGAGGGTTCATCCAGTGGGCATGAGCTGGACAGGTGATAGAGATTGATTAGTAAAGAGTATGTCTATTTTTGAAAATACTGCGTTGAATTGTTTAAATATTGATTTTTGAAGATCTGCAACCGGATTGATAGCATTTGAAGTTAAAAGGAGGTGTAACAATTAAAAACACCCCAAACGTCCACACTATACATGTACTACAATTATATATACATTGTCAATCGGCACACATACTCCACAGAAGCTTGTTTCGATCAACAGATAATTATCAGTAAAGTACGTCGTACGATACGATATCATAAACATTTTTACTTATCATTATCTATTAATCGAAACGAGCTTCTGTGTATACTCACCATACTGTAAACACACTATACATTATCACAAGTACTCCGTCATGTATCTTGATCTAAACCATAACAGATAATATGTAAATATACACACCTACGCACAAAACGAAATACACATGACATACTCACACACATACACAAGTCAAAACACCCACTGATACACATAATGACACATAAGGATTACACATAAGGATTAGACGTATATTTTTTTTAATTTCATACCGACATGGACACTGAAAAAAGTCCGTTCAATCGTTATATTTACATCCTAAATATGTTAGTGTCTGTATGGTAAGCGCAAATAAGATTCCTGATAAGATTCCTGAAACATCCTAACGTCACCAAAATGTTTAATTACCTTAATTATCTCATGTTAATCGAGGCCGGGG